CTCCCGTGACGACGTCCCGGTACTTCTCGTGGAACTTGAGGGTGAAATACCGTCTCCCGTCGGCTTCCCCGCCGCCTCCGTAGAAAGCGGCGGCGCTGTGCCGCTTCGGCTCGTCGCGGCAGGACGTCCACCAGACTTTGAATCTCCGTTCCTCCTCCTCGTCCCCCGCCGCCGCCGCGGTACGGAAGAACGTGTCGGTGACCTCCTCGTGATAGTCCAAGCCGAGAACGGGGGCGGGGGAGTCCACGGCGTCGTCGTGGGCCTTGAGGCGCTTGGCCTGGGCGGAGGAATTGGCGGAGAGGTAGCGCTCGATGGACTGGTACGCCCTGCTCCGGTGGAGTCCGGCGCCGGGAAACTCGGGGAAGGTGATGTGGACGTAGGGGTCGACGGCGCAGCGCCATTTCCTGACGTATTTCTTTAGCCAATCGCGGAGTTCGTAGGGGAAGTACCGGTCGAATGTTGCCCAGAGCACCAGCAATGTCACCATCCCCGAACCCATCTTGCCCCACAACTCCTCCATTCCAGCAACCATCTTCTTCCATGGTATCTTAGATTCTTGAGTTCCGGGCATATATAATAAAGTACGGAGTAGCATAAAAAATGCATACTCCCTCTTTCCTAAAGTTTCACTCTCTTTGACTTCTCAAGGCACAAATATATGTGGTGGTAAAAGTAAGGAATGAACGTGAGATTTGAGTTCGATTTCAGCTACATCTAGAGATGGACTATGCTAAATATAGAACTTGTATAATACTAGGGACATACTTCACTCTTTATCACCAATCTGTGATTTAAATCTGATTCACTTTTTCTCAGTGACCATTCGACTAGATGTGAAAGGTCCTCGAACCTGTGGTTCATTCTTTTTTATATATTCAAAGATATAATGATTTACAATGAAATATAGAGCTGGCAAATCAGTTGGTCGAGTCAAGTTCAGATTATTTCAGCTTCGTGTTAAGAACTGTATGTTTGTGACCCGGTGTCATCAGGTTCGACACTACCCAACGAGTTATGGCTTTGATTTTTAAAATGTTTAAATTTATATTAACACCTGTATTTTGCATTAAATAAAATTAATATATAAAAAAATATGTATTAATCTATTGTGTTATTTTATTTTAAATTCTGAAAAAAAATTAGGTATATAAATCAATATAGAAAATTAAAAAGTGCATAATTTTTGGAAAAAAGTAAGATAATTATGAAATAATTTTTAAAATTTTATTAGAAACTACAGTATAATTTTATACCCTAAAAATGAGTATTAAGAATAACATATAATTATATCCTTATTTTTATAACATTATATTTTCATAGTAAAGTACGTAGTATATGGTTTTGAAAAAATTCTTACATTAGCGGGTCGGTCAGGTTATGTTTGGATTTGGTCGGGTTCAGTCAGATTTGATCCATTTATAGCGGGTCATTTCGGATTCAGTCAATGAAACTTCGGGTTCAAAACCCAGTGTTTTCGGGTCAGATTTCAAGTCAAAAATAGGTCGGATCAATTTTTGATAGGTCTAGTAAAATATAATCTCTCCTTACCCCATAGATTCTCAAACACTAATATATAGCCCAATTTAACTCATTTTATTTACTTATTTTTACTATTCATTTCATAAAAAAACTAGTCTTAGTAACATTTAAACCCGATGTGTTTTGATTTTAGTTAAAGTTAAAACCGTTTTTTATTTCTGATCTATGCTATCCACCTCAAAGCATAAATCAGGGTATAGCAGTCGTGGCGAGATTACTGGTGATCCACAATAACTGGCCGGCAACAAGTGCGTTTATAAAGGTGAATTATAAAGACTTTCTTTAAAGGTGAGAACTAGGAATATAATTCCATTTAGTAGATTTCTAGCTACTAGCAAAGTCAGACAATCATGTTAGAAGTTTGAAAGAATAATGCAATGCATGTTTACTCTAATTTTTTCAACTTTGCCGAGACTTTTACAATGCAATTTTACTCCATTATTGATAAGATTAAATTTTTTTCCAGCGCCTGTTCTTTAGGGTTTGAATTCTTAACTTTCAATTCCTTTCACTTTCTTCTAGTTTATTCCAGTTTTTTCCAACTATTCTCATTTTCTTCAAACTCTTTCTACTTCTCAACCAATTTCTCTAAAAACGATATATTTTAATGTGATTATTATTATTATTATTATTAAAATTGTTATGTTCATAACTATAGTTTATAAATTATTTTTTTCATCTCACTATTTTTACGATTCAAATTCATTATTTTTTTCATTAACTCTTTAATATGAATAAGAAACTTTTTTGTATATTAGCCTACATGATAAAACAGGAAAACATCAATATGTTTAATTATATTAACAAAATTATGGATAAAATAGTGAAATTGAATGTTTTATTAATCTAACTTTATATAAGATCTCTCACATTTCCCTTTATTACTTAAAATTATCTCATTTTTCTAATTTTTTATAAAAAAATTGTAAGTCAAAATAGTTTAGAGAAAAAGACTAAAATAGGAATAAAACATAAAAAATGTAAAAAAAAGTTCTATGTCTTTATTCCAAAAATAAGACTTCAATGAAAAAAATGTCAATCATGAAAGAAAAATAGGTTTGATTACATTATGTGACATGTCTGATATTTAAAACAAAATCTTGTAATATATAAAGTATAATTACAAATATATTATTTATAATAAATACTTCATAAATAAATTGAGGTGCAATATAACCACAAAGACTTTTTAAAATTTAATATTTTTATATTTATTCTAACTTTATATTATAATTATTTTTTTGCAAAAGTAGTTTTTTGTATTTAAAAAATAATTATTTGTATAATAGTAATAATAATAATAATTTATAACAACAAGAACTTAAAATAAATGTTTTTAAAGTTCTTTTAGGTTTTTCAATTTTTGAAGTTTTTTCCAGTTTCTTCCAATTTTTCCAGTTTCTTCCAGTTTTTTCCAGTTTTTCCAACATCCAGCTCTTTTTTTCCAGTCCTAAAGAACAGGCTCTAACTCGGTATGTTTTAACTACTCCCTTCATCTTAAATTAAGTTGTTTGTTTATAAAATTTATATGGTCAAATTTTATTCATTTTCTTTCCTTATTTTCATTGTTGAAATAATATAATCATGTCATATTTTTTGTTTCGTCGGTCTTTTGATTTAGTTTTTTTAATATGTAAATTCTATTTTTAAATTTTACTTCAATTCTCAAATAACTTGTATTGAAACAATTTCAGTCAAACATCTTAAATCAAAACAGACGATTTAAATTAATATGAATGAAGTATTTTTTTTAAGCACGAAATGCTTATTTGAATATTAGGTGAAGTGTCAAATTATGACACTCATTTGAATTCACGTACATACGTGTTTCATTTAAAAAATTATGTTTACTACCCCTTAAATCCTTCTAGTCTTCACCAAGGTCTCCAGCCCCTCGGATCTCGAGGGGCAGGAGGGTTGAGGGCTAGGAGAAGTTGGAGATTGTAAAAAACATCAATTTTTGAAAGGAACATCGTTGAAGTCTCAATTAGAGAAATGGTGTAATATGACACCCAATGTTATATTGCAAAATAGAGAAAAATACTAAAATAGAAGTAAAAATATGAAAATTAAAAAACTAAAATAGAACCTTCATGTTTTCATTTCTAAAATATAATCTATAATACCAACGTATAACACCAAAAATACTGGAATGCATATATGCAGTGTGTCACATTGTAACTGCTTAATAGTCCTATTTTGGAGGCTAAAAACATTTTACTGCTCTTTTGGGGTTAATAACTATGTATTACCTCTACTCGAAGATTTCTTACCAAAATATTTGCCCCGTTTTTCCTACTCAAACACATGGATTAGTTGGGTGATAGATCGAGAAAAGTTGTTAAACTCCAGTGGAGGGGTTAGAGGATCGTAAATCGTGAATCGTAAGTCAAATCATAAGATTTTAGAATTACTACATAAAATATAGAAGTATAACATGAATGATACATATGTACAACAACTTAAATTTAAAACAAATAGCCTTAAATCATAATCCTAACGTCCAAATAAATAGTACTCTCCCTCTATGGTTTCATCCCAAATCGAACATTTCATTTGTTTTTTCACATTTTTTTAAAAAAATATTGGGTGATTGAGATTTATAAAACACATGAAGAATAAATTGAACTCTTCATTTCTAAGAGAAATGATATGTTTATTTTCGGACAAATTCAAAACGAAATTGAGAAACTTTTAAAGAAATAAAAAAAAGTTGATTTAAGGACAGATATAAAAGGAAAGTGAGCAAATTTATTTTAGAAGGTAGCAAATTTGCATTTGTCATAATGCACAAAATTGTAAAGATTCAATCAAAGAAATTAATTAAAGAAGACCAAATGTCTTCGTCACTGCAGATGGATTTCGACGAGAAAACTAGTCGTTGAAGACTTCAATCACAGAGTTATAGATGTGCGCATACCCGACCCATCTGCTTGGTAAATCAAGTGACTTTACGACCCGAGCCATTCTTGATCTTCCCACACATTGAATCGGTTGACGTTCCAACGGTTTGACAATCCAACTTGGTGATCTTGGGCTATCCAAGCCTTTTCTGATCCAAGACATGATCTTGATCGTGCACAAGAGCATGATTCGTAAACACAAACCACTTTAAATAAGAGTAAAACATAAAAGTACCAAAATAATAATTCAGTATTTTTATTTCCTAAATAAGAGTTGGCACTGTAGTAAAATGACATTGCACATGGACATTTTAGTATACTTTTTGGTAATGTACAAGATTATAATCATGATTGGTAATTTAAATCTATTCTAAATCTTATTTCGGAAATAAAAATGTGAAACTTCTATTTTGGTTCATTTTCAACCTATTCTCTCCCTTCCCACACCGTTAATAATACTGTGATGGCTAAAAAAACAGCTCAGAACACAGCATCCCACTGAGAGATGGTCAAAAAACGAGTAGCACCATAAAAAGAGTGCTATACTAGAACCCATATTTGCAGTTAACTATTTTAATACTAGAAGCTGTGATATCAAGGTGACATGACTACGCTTCAAATGCTCATGCCTGTGTGTTGCCATATCTCTGTGAGCAAACAATATGATTGGGTGCAAATGGTTTCCTTGTATCTTTACACAGATTTAGAAAAACTGATACTCAATATAAACCATAATTACGCGCGAAAACAAACTGTCATAAAATGTCGCTGAAAAAGATACTATTACCGTCGAAAGAAGCTCAGTTATAAAAACTGGCCTCACAGGTTTAACCGAAAAGACAAAAAGATGAAACAGAGGAGAGCACAAGGTCATCTCTATCTATTCCTGGAATTTGGAATGGCTGATGGCATTTCAGCAAAACCAAAACTACAGTTGTGGAACACTCTGCTAGCCAACCACAGAGGAAACTCCTTGGCCAACATCAAACAAAGGCATTCAGGATGTTCTTCTTTAAAGTGAACTCATCGGCCTTGGCAGGACTGATTGACTGCACAACATATCAAGAAAATAGTTCAGAGAATCAAAGATGCATTTAACTACGAAATTACAACACCAAATCTGTTTCTTGTATAATTAATTATTGTTCACAAATAATAGTTCAACTATTTTCCCTACTCAACTTGTTTGTCCACCGATTGAAAGAAAAGAAAATGAGCTGCTACACGATTTGGTCCCTCAACTACATACAGTTGCTCAATTTCGGTTGGCTTATTATTTGATTCGATTTAGTTCTCAACTATGTATTTCAACCAAATTTACCCTCGTAATGCATAGGCCATAAGAAGGGTATTTAACCCTAGTTTTGGTCTTTTGGACTTCCCAACAAAGTAATTTTGACCAAACTTTTGTCCCCAACATGCAAAAAAACCGTACTTGGAGTAAATTAAGCATGATGACAATTTGAGTCTAAATTACTCCGTACAAAGTTGAGGAGCAAATTGAGTAAAAACGAAGGTCAATGGCCTAAGTCGGGCATTAACTCAAAAGAAGTATGGGTAGTGCTAAAAATGAAATGCCCACCAGTGCACTGAGAGAACTGAAATTAGTCAAATGGATGGGTATGGAAAGCCACATCTGTCTATCAAATCCAAGATATAACAGAAAAGAACCAAATGGGATACATGAAACAGATGATAAGTTCCAACAGAAGTGGTGAAATGTATTTGGCATAGTTGATAATATACCTTGGCGAGCATGCGCTCTAGCCTCCCAATTTCATTCTTGGCATAGTCAGCTCCTTTATCCATGCAACTCTTGGCAGCTTTTGCATAGATCTCCCCATATCTGGGAAGATGTGTAGCCACGACATAAATCAACAGACAATAGTGTCTCACATTGCTAACTAAAAGCTTGCCAGCAATTGAGAAGGTTACTCAAATTATAGAGCATTGATAGAGCAGGGAATGGGCAGGGATTGGTTGAGAGAATGGGAGAATTTACCAGTGTGCTCTTATTTTGTAGCACCTAAAATTCCCTGACCCCCTTTTGCCCCAGAACTTTACTGAAAGTTAAATTCTCAACTTCTAGAAGAGCAAAAATAAATTACCTTTTAGAAGAGCCTGACAGCTTCTCAACTTCCTCCTCCAATTTACCAAGTACAGCCTTCTTCTCTGCATCACTAGCACTCACAAACTCCTTCACTAGGTTAACCAGATCTTCAACGACTCCGGCCTAAACCATTTACAATAGTTCTAAATCCATAATAATGGGACTGCAATGAGTTTTGAATGACTTTTCAGACCCATATGCCACTAACCTTAGAAGTAAGTTGGCCTTTGGCATCACGGTTAGTGCCACACTTCTCATTAATGAAGTTTACGAAGTCATCCACGTCTCGGCCAGCTTCATAATCTTCACCACCTTTGTTTGACTTTGGGAAGAACTTTAATGTAGGGAAACCACTCACGCCATACCTGTGTGGTGGGAAAATAGAAACATGTTATGTACTACTGGTAAAATGATACAGCATTGAATTCATAGGGTATGTGCGCAGTGCAGTATTACTAAAAAAAGTAGAGCAGTAACAGATTATTATATCAAACCCATTTGTATATGTAACATGCAACATGTACCCACCAAAAAATCATGCAACAACTTACTTCTCTCCAAGATCCTTGTACTTGTCAGCATCACATTTAGCAATGACCACATCCTCATCCAGTTTGAATGCTGTTCCCACCTTTTCGTAAATCTACACATAATAGACCCCAGAAAATCCATTTCAATATTCTTAAAAACAATTGTTAATGGTAACAGACTAACAGTGAGAAACTATGAGGTAAGCTATCGCACTGCACTTACTGGAGCAAGTTGTTGGCAGTGGCCACACCTGCATAAGGTTTAGAAAAATTTGGATGAGAACCCGTAAACATACTCAATTTTACATAAAGCTAATTCATAAACTACCGAGTATTTTAGAATACCTCGTCCATTTTACAACATAACATTAACCAAACAGTTTCACTTGTGGTAAATATGCTCACCATGGCGCATAAAACTCTACCAAGACATGCTTTTTCTCATCCAGGACAATCTCGTCAAAGCTTTCAGAGGTTAGTACTACAACATTTGAGGGGACTGCAGCAATCTTAACATTTGTTCCTGAACATAAGAAAATTGATTGCGAACTGTGAATCAAGGGGTAATCAATGCAAGATAATAAGTAATTCAGAACATATTTGGTTTTACTACATTCATACAGAGTATTTCTTACATAAAGCAAGATGGGGAAAAAATCCGGTCATACAAAAAGTCAAGTAAAACAACAGTACCCACGTCTCTTGCTTCTTAGGGCCTGTTCTTCAGAGCTTGAACTCTCAACTTCCAGTTTCTTCCAGTTCTTCCAGTTTCTTCCAGTTTTTTCCATTTTCTTCTAATTTCTTCCAAGTATATTTATTTTCTTCAAATTCTTTCTACTTTCTGACAAATCACTCTTAAAAAAAATTATTATTATTATTATTACAACTTTTTTTTTATTACAACTTTTATGTTCATAACTATAGTTTATAAATTATTTCATTTTTTCATCTCACTGTTTTTATGATTCACATTCATTCTTCCAGTTTCTTCAACTTTTAATATGAATAATACCGTTTTTTTGTATATTAATCTACATGAAAAATTAGGAAACTATTTAAAAAATTATGGATAAATAGTTATATAGAATATTTTTTTAATCTAAATTTATATAAGGTAAATTACATTTAAGGGCCTGGAAGAATAATATTATGAAAACCAAGAGAAAACTACATTTTGAAAGAGAAAAAATGACCCAAGAAGTGTAATATTTATGCTAATTTTATATTCTAATTATTTTTTTTAAACTAGCTTTTTATATATGAAAAATAATACTCGTAATATTTTTTTATCTTAAAGACAATCATTAAGATAACGTGATAACACCACCACCACCAACAACAACAACAAAAACAACAAGAATAATAATAATAACAATAACAACAACAACAACAACAACAATAATAATAATAATAATAATAATAATAATAATTTATAACAACAAGAATCAGAATGAGAATAATATAAAATCACATATAAATTTTTTTAAAAAAGTTTTTTAATATTTTTCAATTTTTTCCAGTTTTTTCAGTTTCTTTTAATTTTTTTCAGTTTTTCCAATTTCTTCTAGTTTCTTCTAGTTCCTTTCAGTTTCTTCCAACATCCAGCTCTTTTTTCCCAGTCCTAAAGAACAGGCCCTTAATGCATTTACTTTTTGTTATATTACGAGATTTTACAAGCACAACATCGCTTGCAACCAATTATAAAATATCATTGATATTTTAGAAATCTATCAGCAACAAAGCATGTCAATATAGTTGAAATACGAGCTATAATTCAAAATGCAAAACTTCTTCAAAGAAGGTATACTATTTTTGAAGGTGAATGAAAAATCAAATTTGGACATATTGATTTCCTAACTAAACATTTCAGTACACATGGAATTCAAATGCAAAATAGGAAATCACCTGCTTCAGTGTTCACAAACTCTGCAAGTGCCTCTGACGTCCGTGCACCTTCATACCTAAAAAACAGTAGTCACTGTATTTCACTATCTAAAGGAAAAATGTACGATAAAAGAATTCAAAATTTACTAATATGCATGTGTAACCACATGCAAACACTTACTTCTTTGGCTCAAGAGACCCCTTGGGAAACCACTTGATGGTTGGGTACCCCGAAACATCATATTTGGTGCAAAGACTCTTGTGTTCATCACAGTCTACCTGTAGCATTACATTGCAATTTAGAAACTTTGAACACATCATCTTCATGGTAAAAATATAAAAATAAAAAAGTAAACCATTGGCCTGTCTCATAAAGATAAAATGAAGAAACAAATAAAAGTGTGAATCACTAGTTAAATGGTCTAGGAAATGAATGCTATGAGCCAAAAGATATATTCAATAAATAAACAACAAATACAATAAATAGTTTTTTGTTATGAGATGTTACTATGCTGCATCAATCAATGCTAGTAGTAGGATTGACCTTTCCTATAAGAACAGACTTTGCTTTCTTGAAACTTGTAGCGAGCTTTTCGTATTCAGGAGCTAGCTTTTTACAGTGTCCACACCTGAAAACATCAGAAGCAGAATAAATAATACAAGGATTAATATAAGATAAAATGGCCCAAATGGCCAATTAGGGGTTTGTATTAACGGTTACCCATTTACATTAGCAGTATGAATGTATAGAAAGACTTGAGGGGTGTTTGGCACAAATTTTTCTGTTAAAAAAGAGCTTTTGGACTGAATGACAAACTTGGCTTAGGTCAAACATATACTACAAGTGTTTGATAACCAGCTGCGGGAGAACTTTTTCATCCCCCCCCAAAAACATTTGAAATTCAAAGTTTTTGTTAACAGATATTAACATTATACACCACAAAAATCTGTTGACAACCCCCTCTATCCCATAAAAGTAGTATATTCTAAAATTTGTTTGTTGGTTTAAAAAAACTTGACATGTTTAATTTTTTGCAACACTTGAACAAATTCAATAAAATGAAAAAATAGCTTGTTTTGTTCAAAGGCAGATCCATTTTTGGGACAAATTAGTCAAAAATAATAATAATCTTATTGAACAGAGTACTAAGTGCACGAGAATGTACGAGGATGTATAAAGACTGTCTTTTTTGCATTACCTATTTATAAAAAGTGCATAGTATTTAGCTCCGCAATTGTGGAACATGGCTAATATAGACTGTGTTAAATTATTGTTGTAATTGAACTTTATAACTGATAATGGTTTATTCAAGGATTAGTATTCATAATTGATAATTGATGTTTTTGTCTATATACTCTATCATACCCATATACTCCATAGAATATCATGGTATATATTAACATCAATGCTTAATTTTTTAAAAATAACTTCTGACTTTCCAATTTAAATTCTTTAAGAGTTATAACATGAAAATTTATACAGAGTATATTTATCACTCAAATAAAATTAGCTTAAAGTTTAGGATACTAATATATTTAACAGTTTCTTTTAATTTTTTTTATAAGATTTATTAAATTAATCAAATAGAATACATATACCTTTTTATATTATATATAAATAAATATACACACACACACACACAATGCAGTGGCATTTTAGTAAATAAGTCATACTTTTTTGCCACCGAAAAATGCACTACAATAATGTAAATGTGCATCACAATGGACGAAAAATGCACCATTCCCATTTCTCACGTTAAGAGCATTCTCACCACATCTGAGAGACACAAATGATATAGGAAGATCGTGAGTTTTTTTTCATTTTGCATAATTCCTCAATAAGTGTTTCCAAAGAGCCTCTTAGAAAAGTTTTTTCAAGCTTAGTTTTTTATTACTTATTTTATTTAATATAATATGCTTGTAACAAAAAAAAGGGTGGTGATAGTCACACCGGCTAGAACACTAAGTTCACTCCATTAGCTAAATTCACCCCATAGTTTTTAATTTTGTTATAAACTCACCCTCGGTTGGGACATTGAATACCCCTAGTGTTTTTAGTACTATTTTTACACTAAATTCATCCCACTCCAACATTTATACCTTTTTGTTTTAAATTTTAAACCCTCTCATTTAATAGTACCAATGCATGGCATTAAATATGAAACAATCTCTTTACTCCTTTAAGTATAGGTAAGTGTGCCTCTTGAGTAGGATCCACTGGGTTTGTTTGGTTTGGTTACATACTTACATACAGAGACAAAATACATCTTGATGAGAAAATTAGTCTCTAGATATCAAAACGAACATATTATAAAACCATTCCAACAGATTTAGAAAGGAAAGAAATAGCTAAGAATTCCCGATCTAAATACAAAAAACTCAATCAACGCCATAACAGAAAAGGTTAAAATAAAATTCTGGTGCGGTCAGTTTCATCAATTATAAAGCAGTGAGATACACAGAGAAGTAGATGGTGCCGATTTGACATTAACATATGATTTACATTATGGAAAAAGTGTGTGATCCATAGCGATTATACATGAGGATTTGTAGATTATTAGTCGCTTCAAACTTATTTTTTACAGATTGACCTAAGGTTTATTATTTAATCAGTTCCGCCAATAATCTCATTAAATAGTATTTCACGAAAAAGGAACCCAATATAATCATGAATGGAAAAGGACGTATACACACCAAGGAGCGTAGAACTCGACGAGAGCTGCGGCATCCTGACCCACCTCCTTCTCGAAGTTCTCTTCCGTCAAAACGACGACATCGTCGGCGAAGGCCGCCGAGATGAAAAGAGCTACTATTGCTAACGCTGTGTAGATCTCCGATCTCGACATTTTCTCTTGGTTGGAGTTGGTGAATCTGGGCGGTGGCTGAGCCAAAAAAGCAGTATTAGATCGGGGGGTTCTGTAATGAGAAAATGATCTGCTCCTTCATACTTGAAGAGGATTATTTGGATTAATGTCAAATTCGATGACATGCTTTGACCAACTAAACAATGACACGTGTGACGAATATTTGGAAATGGGTGCCAATAGCAACGGGTCGGATAGTACTATACTCGAATCCGATCCGACTTTTAAACCCAAAACAACTTTAAACCAAAACCCCGATCTGAACCAAACTCGACATTTAAACCCGAATCCAAACCCGCAATTTAACCAGTAAACTATTTAACGTACCCCAAAAAATTTAAAAAGAATAAATCTAAATTCTTTTGTGTCTCATTATTTTATTGAGGAATTATAAAAAGGATTCTAAAAGGCATACCTTGTATAGTAGCACCTTGTGAGGATCATTGTGTGCTAAAAATACGAGCAAGACAGTGGAAAGACTAGAGACACAGGGAATGAAGAGATGGAAGAAAGGAAAAATCATATAAGGAGAATTAAAAATACACAGAGATGCGATGTAAGTACCATGAGAGAGATACGGTTGTGCCACAGAATCGAAAAGAAGAGATTATACAGAGTACTCATTATATCCGTAGATAGGGTTTTAAGTTTTAAAACATTTGGGTTCGGTCGAGTCGAGACAAATTCGGGTCGGGTCGGGTGAAATTATAAACATGTACCCGGCCCAACCCGATGTTGGGTTTGGGTAACATTTTTCGGGTTGAGTTTGGATTATTTTATTCTCGGTTCGGGTTTGAATATTTTATTATTTGGTCAGCTCGGTTACGATCAGGTTCGGGTTGAATTGTCATCCCTAAGTCCAATACCTATAAAATTTGGTAAATTAATAATCTGTATTTGCACTCCATTAATTGCTATTGACCCTCCAAAATATACTCATAAATGTGTTTTGGAGTACCAATAGCAAAAAATAGAATGTAATAATATTTTCTCTAAAATTTGTATGGTTTCAAAATGTTATGCACGCACCTCTTCTGATTGTTTTTCATTCATTTTTCTGGCAAAGAGGAGCATTGGTGCCCATTTTTCAAACCACAGGGAACACGGGATTCTATTTTTTGCTCATTTTTCTATTTTTTGTTACTCTTTTTTCTTCCATTTGCTTTTTCATAAAAATTTCTTTTAAATTTCTTTTTTAATCTTTTGAATTTTTAAAAATTCAATATTATTGTGTTTGAAATTAAAAATAAATGGAATGAAGAATATATGAAAACAGCTTCATATTTATTAAGTTAATCATTTCATTTTTTTTGTTTTCTAAACTAAAAATAAAAAACTTTTTTATGGCATCCGAAGAAGAGAATGAAAAACAGATAATAAAATAAAATAAAGATTTAAAGAATAGATAATGAAGGATCCCAGAGATGAGAATTCACTGCATGCCTGTAGGAAGCATAGAGATAGAAAGTACAATCGGGAAGTGATTGCGTGATTGGATATAGCTTGGTTCAAGTGACAATCCCCATCCACAATGCTGGAGGGGTAGCATTTATAGACGAGTGGAAGTCTTGTTCTCCAAGTCTTGCTATTTTGGCACACAGGTCACGTGGGTTCATAACAGTTTCTATAAACTTTTACTTTATTTGGGCTTGCCTAACAACCTGGGCCGACCGCTAATTATTACAACTAAACTCTTTTTTTTCTATTTACTAGTATTTTGACCCGTGCGACGCACGGGGTTGAACAAAATTTTTGTCGATTCCAATTTTTTTCAATGTAATATATTTTTCGGAATCAAATAAAATATATTTCTAACACGATTTTTAATCAATGAACAACAACGACAAAGTAGAATAAATAATATTTGAGGAATTTAAAGTGTACTCAAAAAAATCTTTTTTTAATTCCAATTTTTTCAAAGATTTTAGGGTACACAACATTTTTAGTATGGTTGTAAGAATTTCCATTATCATCCAGAACCAATATTTTTAATTATGTCTTTGCCTTCACTCGTGAAAAAGTAACATAAAGCTAACCATGAGTAAATATTGAATTGGTTAAAAATAATAAAACAAAAGACAATGTTTGACCTTGTTTTTTGTTAATAGTCATAACAAAATATAAGAATATTAAGAATTGTCTTCTCTAGAATTTCAAGGGTAGTTCTGAATCAAATGATACCAAATTCTCTCGGGGTATATAAATCTTTTTCCCAACTGATTTCTCAAAACGTCAATTGCAGTGATAATGTTCTTTCTTGGCTTCTCAACGATTAATCTTATACCATTACAAAATCCAGATATTTGGTCAATGTTCTTCAATGACATAATCGGTACCCCCTTTTTAAAAACTATTTTGTGGTTTAGGATCCACGAACATTTGATTTTATTAAAAAATTGAAGTGTTATCCAATTGTTAACTTTGCATGAAGAATCAGAACTTAAGTACTCCTTTTCACCTCCTAGAATAAAGGATATGACAAATTCATTTACCATTCAACAAACTCGGGTGTGAGTGATAATATTGCACTATCCTTAAAAAAATAATTTTTCATATTCTCTAGTAGGTTCGGATAAGTGAATTCCATTGTTCTTTTGAGGTGATAACTTATGTCAAGAATCAAGAATTCAGGCGGGATTTCAACGCGAGCAGTTCCATTGATCACTTGTCTAAATTTTCTATCTTCGACTTTGATTATCCAATCAGAAAAAATTTGTGCAAGAGTATAGATTAATGCAATCTCATATTTTTTGTCAACGTATAAATTTTACAATACAACCACATTTGTGAGAAATTGGTGGTAGCATCTACAATTTCCTCTCTCAAAGCTATGATTAAAACTGAAAGAATTTAGATAAAATCACCTTTGAGTACGATTGTTTTTCCTTCGTATGATTAATTTATGAAGTTATTATTAGAAATTCTCACTACATTTCTCTTTGTGCAATCTAATGTCTCAAAAGAAAATATATTCATCGTATATGATAAATCCCGTATGATTATACTTGTTATATTGGGTCTGCTTTCGAGCTCCCTTATTTGGTGGCACACAATGAGCACTCAATTTGCACCAAAGGGATTAAAAATCTCGAGTCTCCTTTCCCTAGGTAAAATCAATGCTACAATGTAGTTGGATGTGACATTCAGGACAACATTACTGTTTGACCTCAGAAAAGCAGATAATGATTTCTAGAGAAATATTTTTCCAGTTCCACCGTAACCATGCACAAAAAAGAACTCTCTCTTTCAGCTATCACGACTTCCATTATTTCATTAGATTTATTCCACTGATATTCATTCATCATAGATATAATATCCTCTAAGATCAAATGACAACTTTTCATTGACATAGTTTAACTCATCTACCAAGAAGTTATTTTGATATCTATTAAGTTGATTGTCATCTCCAAATGGCATGCCACTGAATTCCTTTAAAGACCGCCCATTCCAAATAAGCAACTCTTCAATCTCAATTAGACATAAATTCTTTAGGTCTTCTCGTGAGATTATAACTCTACAAAAAAGGATTTATTTGTTTCTATGCAATACTCAATTAAGGAGTTTTGTTTTCATATAATGCATTTCAAATTGATTGATAAGTTTAAAAACTTTCTTTATATTCAAGTACCTTGATTCCACAATATTCACATTCGATCAAATAAAATTTCATTCACTAGGAGTTCCTATTGTTTTTTTAAAACAATATGTGGGTGACTCATGATACTTGGACGAACAACATTATTAGCATACTCTCAAATCCTAACTTAGCAATCTCTTTTATATCTTCAATAAGCTATTTATCATCGGTTAATAACCTTAATGCTTCACAAGCTTCTATGAATGCGTTATGTAGAACATTGTTAACTCTTCTCAAGCTCTTATAACTTATACATCATCGCTGGACAGTTAATAATATTCTCAAGTAGTATAACTCTCTGGTTTCTGGACACACATATTATAGCCTGCCTATTGACGATCTTTGTTGCATCGGACCATTTTCGCGCTTTGTGGTTGTACACAAAAAGATCTGGAAATTCTGGAAATTTAATTTTCATAGAATAAGTTTTTTTACTAATTAATTCTTTAAATATAACTTGATGACATGACGTGCTGACATGTCAAAAAATTGCCCAATAAGCGTGCCACATGTCACTATTCTAGAAGCCTAACTCTCAAATATTATATATAAAGGATGGGATGGGGAAGGTTCAAGTGACATTGAACCTTGATGTCATAGGATGACCCGGGGGCGTTCCGGTGCCCCATTCGTAAAATTGACGGTTCCTACCTCCCATAACCCCCCGGTAAACCCCCCCACCTGGCCCCGACCCGAACACACCCCCCCACCTCCTTCAATTGCACCCCACAAGTTGATTTTGACTTTGGAGTCAAAATCAACTTGTGGGGTGCAATTGAAGGGGGTGGGGGATGTGTTCGGGTCGGGGCCGGGTGGGGGGTTTACCGGGGGGGTAGGGGGGTAAGAAACCGTCAATTTTACGAACGGGGCACCGGAGCGCCCCCGGGTCATCCTATGACATCAATGTTCAATGTCACTTGAACCTTGGTGTTATGGGATATACCTTTTTTAATTCAATTCATTATCTCAGGGAATGATGCATTTTTATTCGCCCATAGTGCATTTTACAAAGTTCAATTATATTACGAAAGGATAAGAATTCTCCCATACCGTTAGATCTGGCTCAATCTGGAGACTTTGCCCGTTTCAGCCTCTGGGTATTTTAGGACTTTCACTCCCTAATCTTATACTCCCTCCGTCCCTCTGTATTTGTCCAGTATTCCATTTTTGGCTGTCCCTTAATATTTCTCCACTTTCCTAATTTGGCAATAATTAATTTACAACTTTCCATCTTTACCCTTTCTCACTCCATCCACTACAATCAATTCCTCACCCACCCGTTCCATCCACCCAAAATTAATCCTTTTCATCTTCTTTCATCTCATCTCTCTTTTTCATCACCTCCACCGATTGCTTCTTACTCCTGTTCATCTCCATCGCCGATTGCTTCTCACTCATCTTCGTCTCCATCGCCGATTTTTCACCTTCTCACCCTTCCTCCTCTACAGCTCTGATCTAATCACCTTCTCACTCTTCCTCACATATTTTTTCTTCTCAGAAACCCTAGATTTTGATATGAGGAGTGGACCTGACATGTCTTCCGATCAGGAATCTGCCTTCTTCATTCCCAAAACACAATTTGAGAAGAAAAGCCTCTGCATGGATGGTGCGACCACTGTCTTCAAAGTAGATGAGTCGCCCTTTGCCGGGGAGGATGAATTTCCTACCTGCGAAGATCATCTAGAGGATGGTGATAGAGATCTGATTGTTCCAGATTCCGAAGAAGAGGATTGCGATGAGGAGGTGAATGAGATTATTCCAGATTCGGAAGATGGTTACTATGATGAGGAGTTGATTGTTCTAGAATCTGAAAAAATGGATGATGATGAGGCATTCGTAGTTCCAGATTCTGAAGAAGGGGACGATGATGAGGGATTCATTGTTCCAGATTCTGAAGAAAGGGATGATGATGAGGCATTCATTGTTCCAGATTCTGAAGAAGGAGACTATGTTGAGGCATTCATTGTTCCAGATTCTGAAGAAGGGGATGATGATGATTCATTCATTGTTCTAGACTCTAAAGAAGGGGAGGATGATGACAGGTTCTCTAACCCTGACTCCCAAAAAGAATCTGAGTCCCTGAATTTGGAGGTGGAGGCTGTGGACAAACCTGCATTCCTCCAAGCAAGGGTTGATGAGGATCCATTTAGTGCTTTTGCTAGCTTACAATACGACCCGAAGTTGGGAAAAGTGCCTAAGGCATGGCACAGCTCATCCACAAAGGCTTTGCTTCATATCTGGTTCCCACGTTTCTTCGTCTAGGGAAGTACTTTGTCTCTACTCTCATTTTTGCGTATGAGTAGTACTGAAACCTATGATTGTCTTGTTGTTTTGTCGCTGCATTCTGTGTTTCCCATTTAAACGTGTGATTCTGTTGTTTGTTTTCGTTGTGGGGATGCTGTTTAAGTATAAGTGTGTGTTTGGGTGTATATGACTATGGTCTATGATGAATCATCCCGTTAAGATTATGGTCTATGAGGATGCTGTGTAACCCCCACCTTTCGTGGTGTTTGTCGCTCCATTCTGTGAATGAATGTTGAAGTGATTTGACCATCTTATTAGCATTAGTTGTGAAGGCAGTGTCTGTTAAAGAGCAACACCTATGTTCATACTCCTTCCCTCATTCAATGTTTGTCCACTTTATTACGGAGTATACATTACTCTTCTAAATTCAAATCAGAATTTACATTTGAAGTTTCCAATTTCAGAACAGATTATACATCTTGAGCTTTTATTAGTTTTAAATTCTTTATACACTTCATCTTTTGAATTTAAAAACAGATTCTACACTTGACCTTCCAAATCAAAAACAAATCCTAAACTTCATCTTTCCAATTTCAAAACAGAATTTACACTTGATCTTCAAAACAAATTCAAAACAGATTCTACATTTCATCTTTTGAATTTAAAAACAGATTATACACTTGACATTCCGAATCCAAAACAGATTCTACACTTCATCTTTTGACATTAAAAACAGATTCTACACTTCACCTTACCAGATTCAAAACAGATTCTACACTTCCTTACATGCCAAAAATACATCCAAGGCATTATACCCTACACAAAAATATGCCATGAGTAGGTACATTTATATGGTGACTACACTTCACCAAACCATTCAAAAAATACATCCGAGGCATTATACCCTATACAAAAATATGCCTTGANCAGACTTAGCCACACAAAGTTGGAGCGCATAGGTTCAAACTCATTGTAAGACTTTGTCACAACATGAACAAGGTCATCTATAGTTTTGCATTTGTGGTCTTGTTGTAGTGACTGAATTGCTCTAAAATAGCCAAGGTCTAACACATTTAGATCTGGACTGTTTGGTGGTTGAAATGTTAATGATATGTCAAAACCATCAGCCTGGGCTACTTGGAGAAATGCAGGATCATTACATGCAATGTGTGGCTTGGCATTGTCTTGTTGAATGATGACCCTTTTGTTGGAACCAGTAGGCCACTTTTCCTTAATTGCAAGAATGACTTTGTTGATCAAAAAGCTCCTGTACACATCTTTGTTCACTATTGGTACTGGTTTGGTAACCAATGTGCCCCTTGGTCTATTTCTGCTATTCCTTTGTGCAGGTTCTGTGAATATGAATGGGAAAATTCCAATTTTTCCATCAAATAAGACCTCACCATCTTCATCAAATCTTGGCCTGGCTGATGCAGCCAAGAACATAACTTTTGTGATATGTTTTTTGGATTGAATAGTCCTATGCAGATTACTTTCTTCTTCTGCATGCAAGTACATTCTCTGTGTAGCTTGAGTCATTTCAAACCATTTCTCATCCACATGCACATACTCATAAAAGTCATGAAATTGTGGGGTTGTCTGCAAAGTGTTTTGTTGCAGCTTACTCAGGCAGAAATTTAATCTCCTTACTTTATTATCTTCTGTCAAGTGAGGCTTGATTGGATTTGTGTGAGCCTTGAGTTTTCCTCGATTAACCAATCGCTGTATGCTAGTCTTTACATTGAAACTGCCTTTGCCAATGCCCTAATGGTTCTTCTTTTATTGGGGGACACAGCTGAGACCTTATCCACGGGTAGACTGAGACCTGCTTTCCCACAAGACTTTCCCTTCATTCGACCAATGACCCGTACACTTATGCCATCTTTCATTTGTTGTTTAGCTTCTGCCCACAATCTTTGAACTGTTTTTGGATTGATTTGGTATTGCTCAGCAAGTTGTTTCATCACATCCGTGCCCGGTTTCCCCTTCTTCAAGTTTTGGAGAAGGGTTTGTATGATTAAAGCCCTAGTTTCATCACACAGTTTGTGTGTGCACTTATTATTAACCCGTTGATTTTCTGCATTTGACTGATTTTCAATTTCCACTTCGGGTTGTGTTTGTGTTTCTATGACAGGAGGTGAAGGGAGCAAGATGGTGGAAGAAGACATTGAAGAAGTGCAAATGAAGAAAAAAGTCAACTTAAAAAGCAAGGAAGATGGACCTGATTTGCAGATGAAGAATCTGAAGAAAGTTCTCCATCCTGAAGAAAGTGAGAATCTGATGAATCTGATTGCAAATACCCCACTTTTTTTCGAAGGAAAGACTTGGCAGATTCAGTTTAGAGGTTTCCAAATATAGAAGAAGAAGAAAAAATGGCGCCATTTTTACCGCCAAAACAATAAAGAATTGTAGGATTTGGGAAAAGTAATGATTTGATGGTGTAATGATTAAGTTATGGGCTGTAAATTTTTTCTTTTTAAAAGTTCTTTCTCTTTTTTCTTTTCTGCCGTCACATGTACTCCATCTCCAAAAGTAGCAAAAGTAAGGGTATAAATGTAATCTTCTTCCTTGTCCCCACATACCTTGGTATTTGTGTCCATTCCAAAGTGGACAAACATGAAGGGACGGAGGGAGTACCTCCTTTTTCGTCTGATCTTCTCACTGTAAAATCAGTGCCCGATCGCATCAATTTTTTGCGCTAGTTACTCCGTATTTTCTATCTGTGGGTTCTCTACAGTAACAACATACTCATCTTCCTCATTCATCTTATCATTGTCAAAAGACAGCTCTCCGATGGTCCACAACACAATCAGGCATGTTTGATTTTCATTACTTAATCATGAATACCTTTTTGACAATATATTATATAAGGTTTCAATTCTTAATCTAGAATGTTTGATATCTTTTGGACAATATATTTTGCTGGAGTTTTTTGCTCCAATTTTTCAACTCTTAATCTAGTTGTATGATTTTGATGCTGGAGTGCATCATCGCTCTAGGTTTTTTATTTGTGATTTTTACACATTTTCGGTGATTAGAGTTTTTAAATTACGTGTGAATGGGTGTTTGAATTTGTGTGAATTGGTTGTGAGATTTTGTGTTTGGCAGTGAGAGACGATGCATTTAAGGTGCCTTCATAGTGCATCGTGAGGTATATGATTGCGTAACGGGGTATAGAAACAGAATGCATTTTGTGTATAATGGTTTGCTAAATGATGGCGAGACTGCTGATTTGGCAATACTAACAATTCATTTCTTCAATCTTTGCATAATTTCATTAATTTTTAAATTTGATTTTTTTACCTTGTTTGGTTTTTGTTGGCGATGCAAATCGCAATGCAAGGAGGAAGCGGATTTTGCACGTAATCGACTGTTATGCATTTCTAAATTAATTTTAGTTGTTGTATTAATTATTTTTTATTATTTATAATGTAGTTTTGACATTCATCTTTAATATGCATTTTTGTGTTTTTTTGAATCTGTGAGATGCATATTTGGAATTTACCATCAAAATTCATCATATCATTTTTTTATTTTTTCTTCTCACACAGCAATGCATTCCAATATGAATGGTAGTGCATCGTCCAACTGCAAATATTACATATTTACGTCACCTTAGTTGGTCTTCATGTGGAGGCTCTGTTTCGTGATTTTCAAGTACTTCCGGATTTTAGATTTAGAAAGTGAGAACTGAGGTCATATACCAAAATTTAAGAAAGTACTCCCTTCTAATGTTACAATTAAAACGATCAAGAAACATATCAAAATCTACCTTTTTAGTTTCTATAAGAGCCAAAGAATGGATCAGAAGTAATATTTATGGGGGAGGGGGGTTGTACTTGTTTTTTTGTTTAATTCTATGTTTTGGCTAGTGTATTGTTGTTTGTTCGTTGTATAAATTTTTATTGTTTGTTTAGAGGTTAGTTATTTTGTATAGTGAATGTCCATTGTGACATGTTTGATCCTTTTATGTGTACCATTTTGATGTGACATATTGACATATATTTGTAAATTAAATAAGTACTCCCTCCGTCCAAGTTGAAACTTCTCGTTTTGACTTGGCACGGGTTTTACTGTAAAGTGAAAAAGATGATGGATTTCCAATTTTACCCTTTCACCCACCCTCACGTCTTCTTCAGTCCATCGTCCAACCTGCTCCATCTCCACAACCTGCCTAACTCCATCTCCAATTTTACCCTTTCACCCACTCCTAAAAATGAAATATGAAAGCTCCGTTCCAACCTGCCCACATATCACACCTTCAAAATCAAATAAGAAATCTTCTTCACAATCAAAATCAAAACATTAAAAATTGATAAGAAGGGATGGGGGTCTGAGTGAAGAACGAAAATCAAAGAAGAAAAAATAAAAGAATAGAAGAGATAATTTGTGTTGGGGGATGAGAGAGAGAATAAAAGAATAAAAGGGTAAAAGGGTAACTTTGGGTGTAATTTTTTTCTATTTTAGGAAAGGAGAAGAATCAAATAGGACAACTCAAAAAGGAAAATGAGAAGAAAGATATGGGACGGAGGGAGTATATTAATAACATGTTTATCTTACTATTGTCCAATCTTACATTTAAAAAGGGTTGTTCAATGTTTGATTCTGGTGCATACGCATTCATATTTTAAGTGCATTTGTATTGTTATATGTTGCACTTTTGCTATTACATAATGCACTGAATGTTACAATTAGTGAGTGTTGTGTTTCATTCACTTATGTTGTGTGTTGTTCTCCCATCAAAAGAAGCTTTTTTTGTAAAAGGTAAATATGAGAGTCTATACATGATGAATATTGCAAATTTAAACAAATTAAAATGTATATTTAATAGGTCCATGTGCAATATGCAAGTATCTTTGAAATAAAAGAATGTTGCCTATTAGCTCAAATGGTAGAGCGGTATATGCTACAGATGTGGGTTCGAATCCTGCATAGGCAAACTATTTCTCAAATCTATTTTACCCTTACTTTGAAATATTTCTAAACTTCTTGTATGGTCTTTGGTGTTGCTTATATGTATGAGATTATTTGCTTATATTTTACTACATCTTTAATGATGTATTTTTAGATTTTTTTAGCTATGCCGAATGATTATTTGCAGGTGTAGAGCTAGGTCTTATGAGTGTAGGAGTCGGGCATCAGTTCTCCATTTTTGGAATTTGTTATTGTGTCTTTGTTTTTGTTATGTGCATTATCAGACTCAAGGCTATGCATTCGAAGACGAATGTAATGCATTTTCAAATCACAATGCATATTTCGACCAATGAATTGCATACAATACAAATTTTGTTATAGACAAGACGTTCATAGAAGTAGGTATATCATAAGATGGATAGTTAAACGTCACGAATTAAAACTCAAACAATTTGAGACCAAAATAGCAAACAAGATTGCGTCCGTGATGCATCACATTCATTCTCGCAACATCTTAATTTAAATACAACGCATTCTAACGTTTCCCATCGCATTCAAAGTCACATTTACTAATCAACAAATTAGTAGAATAAAAATATAAAAAATCTAAAATGGAAATAACATCAAAACTATTCTGTGCATCAAAAAAATGTAGAACTCGGCTTCCCCCTTCTTCCTCTTTAATGAATGACACCACCAACGCCCTAGCACCACTACAATTGTTTGGCAACCAAGCACAACCACAACCGTCCAGCAAACCTGCACCACCACCATCATACGACGATCATGTACCATCGATGGTGCAACCCAACGGCAACTGCTCCTTTAAACATAGTCCTCATATTCATGCACGGAGTACTTCTATGCTTTCGGATCTCCTCGATCTGCAGCGGCGGCCAAACATAGCTCTATTTGGTATGACAGAAAAGTAGGGATACAAATTTTTATTGATTTAATTTGATCACAATTCTTATGCACTATGACCCTTTTGCCCTTTAAAAGTGACCTGTTACTAACTTTTATCCCTTGAATTATAACTTACCTAATAGTATCAAATATTTAATCACTCCCATCCAAAAATAATCTAGAGCCGTTCAATGCATTAGATCGTGGGGCTTATACTTATTCTCATTTCTTTCACCAATGTTCATTTTCACAGGAACCACCTCCTATATATATATATATATATATATATATATATATATATATATATATATATATATATATATATATATATATATATATATATATATATATATATATATATATATATATATATATATATATATATATATATATATATATATTGATTCAGGTGAGAATGAGATCTTATGAAAGAAATAAGAATGAACTAAACACCGTTAGATCTGATCGCATCTCTATATTCTTTCAGATTCTAGATAGGGCTATATGTGGTTTTTACATCTCAATCTTATCTCTCTCCCATCTTCCGAAAAATTAGCGCATAATCTACGCAGGGCTTCCTCTCTCTGTTTCTTTTTCTCCATTTTACCATGGCACAAGTAATTAAGCTTTCCTTGCATCTCGATCCGAACAAAATGCGCAGGGAATTCTATCCATTTTTAGGGATCATGCAAAAAAATTGGAGGGATAAAATTATGGTTGCGGGTACCTGTCCCAGAACCCAACCGTCACTAATTTCACAATTCCAGAATTTGATTACTGTTGAGGTGAGTGGTTGAAATCTTCCTCCTCATAAAGTGGTTTTATAAATTGTTGTTCGGGAGAAATTAAAGAATTTGTATGGTTAAATGGGTTCGGCAAAATAGTGGTGGTGAAGGTTAGCGGTGATGAAGGTTAATTAGCATAGTGAAGGTTTTTCTAGACATGGCAGCAGTAGGGGTTTGGCCAGTGCTAATTTTTTTATAGCTATTTTTTATAGTTTTTTTAGGTGATTATTGTCAAAAGTAACTTTTATACAGTGTTTTTTGTTGATTCTTATCAAAAGCATTTTTTAGAGGTGTTTTGTGTTGATTCTTTTGTTTTTGTAATTATGTTTGCAAATAGTAGATTTTTGTTTTGATCTTTCGTAATAACATATGATTATTTGGTCTTGTTTGTAATGCCTTTGTATTTGGGTAATGCATTGATAAATGTCAGCATTACATTTATAGCGAAAAACTATGCACACATCTATGAAACATGGTGATTTGTGGTCTTTAAATCCTGGTTCGAATTTGTGGCTTGTTCTTGACAAAAGTGATGTGATTTTTATAGAACTAGTGCATTGTGAAACTATGTATCTATATAGTGGTATGCTATTGTTTACATTTTTGTTTTTCATTTAGAATGTCTGCATTGACTAGATCTCGTAATGCATTACGACAAAAATGTTTTGAAAGTTTTTACTCTTGATTGAGTGCGTGCTAAAGGTATTCACATGTGTTTTTGCAAACTTCTGATGAATAAACTCAATTCGCATAATGTATTTTGTGTTGCTATCTGGGTTTACCAGACTGCATTTATCAAATCTTAATCAATAAAATAAATTTGTAATGCATTTTGCATTGTTATCTATTGTATATAATGATTACTTAATTGTCAGTACTTGTGTGTAATGTTGTTTAGCTA